AGACTCACATGATACTCACTGCAGACAATGAAACACTCAGACATCAAGAAATCTCAACAAGGGTTTTACTTTGAAAAAGGGTGCAAGCTCACCCCAGTCCCGAGGTAGTAGGTGCCGTGAGGCTTGGGGGAAGCCGGGATGATCGGCCCTAACACATGGGAAGCAGCTATCTTTAAATTCTCCGGCTCAATTCAAAGTCACAATCGAAGGCGATTGATAGCACCAGTGTCACAGGAAAAGGGTGGCGCGTTTCTCGGTACATTAGAGGGGACTTGTGGTTTGCAATGCAAAGTCCTTGGTTCTGATCATGGAAACCAACCAGCTGGACTTAAATTGCTTATGCTCTTTCCTTATCCCATTGTCCTTTTAAAGTCTCTACAGTCTTTAGTGATAGCTCAACTGTCAGTTTTTAAACATATTCTCCTGCTGACGTGGAAAATAGATTTTACAATTTGAGTTCCACTAATTTCACTCAGATTTGTGGTTCAGACTACGCATCTGTCTTTGAAAATATTCTCAGTATACAGTTGGAGAAGAGGAAGAGGATGGGTGGAAACAAAGATAGTGGAATTAATCAAAGTACGCACTAACAAAAATTATCTTCCATGTGCATTTGAAACCAATGAATCGTGTCCTGTTGCTATTGAGGAATGACTTGTAAGATTTTCTTTTCGCTACCAAATTAAAAGAGGAGCCAGGTATGGTGGCACAGGCCTATAATCTCAGCACTTGGGAGGCTGAGGCAGGGTTGCCTTGGGCTATAGAGTAAGTTCAATTCCAGCCTGCGCTATATAACAAGACTGTCTCAAAAAAGCAAAACAACATAAAGATATTGAAATCTTACTATAATTGTGTATTTTACTTGCATGTCTGTCTTTTCTTCGTTCTGTTCACATCCAGAAATGGTCAGGATCACGGTGCATTGGCCCCTTCGTCGTGTCCCGACCTGCATCCCACCAGGAGGGCTTTGCTCAGAGACCCACGTTGCCTTTGTTGATAACCCCACTGCAGCTGTCCTGCCGTGTTAGCATCTGCCTTTTTACTACATTGTGCTGTCCTAATCAAGTGGATTCTGACTCTACTTGAATATAGGAAGAATCATGGAAATACAAAAATGTTGAGAAAACAATACAGTGAAATTGTTCATGGCAGAAACAGTGATGATGGGGCTGGGGATTTAGCTCAGTGGCACCGCACCTGCCTGAATTTGATTCCCGCTATACAATAAAAGCAAAGGAAAATAAAGGAAACAAAAATCATCTAGAAAATATTGAGCCTACTGGCACATAAGAAATACAAGTCAATTCACCTGTGGATTTAACATAATGTAAAATAAAGAAGACAGTTGTCGTCTAATTCAAGAGATGACATTAAACTTCCACGCCATTGCCTACAAGAATGTACAGAATTATGTGAACACATTTATTTGGTACCAGGGATCAAAGGAGCACTTGTGTGTGTGTGTGTGTGTGTGTGTGTGTGTGATTCTATCGTTATTTACAAAGGAATGCTTTCTGGGTTAGTATATTGTAGGCTTATTATTGTTGTCTTCGGTGTCTCCTAGATGCACAAAATCAGTCGTGTACAGCACATTTGAATTTCATGGCTGTGATGTGGGAAGGACCCACGCCAACACGTGCCCCTCACCATGGGAGAAATGATCACTGTGAGGTTGACGGCTGTGGTGAAGATCAGTGCTCTATGTGCTTAAATTTTCCATGTAAGACTGGAGAAAAATCTTGCGAGAACAGAAACACTGAAATGTAGTAGGAACAGTTATGTAATCAAATAATGAATAAACCATAACACAAAACTAATATCATCTTAGCACAGGCTATTATTGTTGCTTAGTAAAATACAGGTTTTGTGGGGGAGGGGTTAGATAGGGTCTTTGTATTTAGTTCAGGCTTGGCTGGAACTCGCTATTTAGTGCAGGGCAGTCTAGATGTCATGGGGATCCTCTTGCCTCAGCCTTCCATGTGCTAGACTACGGCTGTGTGCCACCATACCTAGCAGATAAAACACAGGCTTTACCCTCGAATATTAATAAACGGAGCTGCTGGGTGTGGTGGCGCATGCCTGTAATCCCAACACTCAGGAGGCTGAACAGGAGGATCACTGTGAGTTAGAGACCAGCCTGGGCTACACATGAGTTCCAGGTTAGTCTCAGCTACATAGTGAGACCCTGTCTCAAAAACAAAGCAAAACAAAACAAAACAACAACAACAAAGCAAACCTAAAAACCTGAGTTACATATTTTAGCGACTTTTCACACTTTACTTTGACCTAGGTTCCATTGAGTTGCGCAGGTTGACTTTAATCACGTAATTCACCTGTGCTTCCTGAGTGGGTGGGATTTCAGACACAAATCACTGGTAACAGCAAAAGTTTTTCATGCTAAGATGGTAGAAAATAAATATGCTCAGGAAAGAATGACCTCTATTTTCATGTTTCCTTGGGCTGAAATAGCAGAATGCACTATGCATTCTGTAAGTGAACTGCAGTAAAATTAGCTGCATGTTCAATCATGTAAACACTAATAGCACACTCTGCAATGCAGTTCATGAAGCACACGGGATATTTACCATTTCACTGTAAAACAGACATAGTATTTTAGCAGCTGTGCTGGTGGATGACTGTAATCCCAGCACTCATGAGGCCACAAGTCTGAGACCAGCCTGTGCTACACAGGGAAACACTTCTCAAAAAAGCAAAAGAAGTAAACAACTAAGTAGTAGTTTTTATAATTTACCCACCTGGAGGCTGATTTAACTGTCTAAGCATAATTAACTTGTTAAGGCTCTGGGTCTTTGCTGGCTGGTGAGATGGCAGATGAGGAAGAGGATCCTACATTTGAGGAGGAAAATGATGAAATTGGAGGTGCTGAAGGGGGACAGGGTAAAAGAAAGACTTTTTTCTAAAGAATTGTGATGTATGATGTATGGGTTTGGAGATGACCAGAATCATTACACCGAGTCGGGGGATATTCTTGAAGACGTTGTCATAGAGTTCATCACTGAAATGACTCACAAGGCAATGTCCACTGGAAGACAAGGTCGAGTACAAGTCGAAGATATCGTCTTCCTGATTCAAAAGGACCCGAGGAAATTTGCTAGAGTTAAACACTTGCTGACTATGAAGAATTGAAACGAGCTAGGAAAGCATTTGATGAAGCAAACTATGGGTCTTGACACCTTGTGTGCTTTCTGAAATGTCATTATTTTCTATGGAATACTATGTATGTTTATTTTCTGCAGTATCGTCCTGATGCTTAGGCATGTACATGAGAGGAAGAAACACAAGTTTTCAGACTTTATCTTCATGTCTTTGTTTTTAGAGCATTTGGTTCCAGCCCTTAATTGCCTGCCTTTATATGACCATACTTGCATTACTTACATTTTAATGACTACATGTTATGTATTAATGACTACATATAAGTTATGACTGCAACCCATGCGGTTCCGACTTTGGACTGTCTGAGAATAAACTTGTATTATATAGTAGATATATTCATGCCATTATAAGCTGTGTGCTAGCTGTTTAATAGGTGAAATCTCAGTGGCCTTTTTGACAGCTAAGGCATGTACTTCATGCGTTCTGAAGTTTTTTAGACAGCAGTCATCATCTTTGTGTGTAAGGAGAGGGTGTAGGAAATTACAAGCTTTTGTAAGAAAATTTGTTTTGCTATCTTTTCTAAAGATAACTTTTTTTGTGTGTTTTTGACAAAATAAATTTCGTGTTAGTGCTCCTGTGTTAAAGCTTTTGTTGATTTAAAAGCCTTTTGGCTTCTAACGTACTACAGGTATTTGCTAAGTTTTAGGAGAACTAATTTTCCCAGATCAAAGATTCTAAATTTAAATGCTTTCAGTAGTAGCAATGGTGATCAATGCCTAAAAGAATACTGGTAAAATAAGCATTTGGAATAGTGTTATATTAACATATTTGTAAGTAGTTGCTCATTATGGAAATGTACACTTGATTGAAACTATATGTGGCCATAGAAACTCCTTTGTGTAATTCAGGATATACAGCTTTTGCGTGTACTTAGCTTACTGCGTTAAATTTTTATTGTCTTTAGTTTACAATGAATATTAAAATTACATTAAATAAATCATTGAATGTTAAAAAAATAATTAACTTGTTGAGGCACACTCTAGCACACCTGCAATCCCAGCATTTGGCAGGCTGAGGCAGGAGGATCGCTCTGAGTTCAAGACCAGCCTGGGCTACATAGTGAGTTCCAGGTCAGCTTCAACTATATAGTGAAACCTTGTCCCCCCCGCAAAAAAAAAGATTAAAGTACACTCTTCAAAATATTAGGATTACTTAATGGATTTGTCACTAAGGCTTTGACTTTGCATTACAGGAATGTGACCCCATAGCAAGGCGAGGAGCTCCTGAATTTAAGGCCAAAACAATGAGGAATATTTTACAAAGTACTTCAGTTTTAGGAAGGGCAGTTACTTATGGAAGGAAAAAGCACTATAAATATCTCTAAAGCAAAAATTCCTGTGAGAATGTACTTGCTGACAAATCATATCCTCACTTATATCTTGTGGAAAGATTATTATAATCAACTATATTTTGGAGAAAATATATGGTCCTGTTGGCCTCTAGCAGTGGAAGACTCACAGAAATAGGTATTTCTGGCCTAATGAATTGAAAAATTATCACCAATGCAATCATGGCAATATGGTCTTGAAAAGCAAAATTTAATGATAAAAAACTAGCATTGCACACATATGATAATGGCTCTGATGAAGAGAAAACTGGAAAAATTACACATTGCATGTAAACTCATTCTTTTCAGATATGTGGAGACAACGTATTAAATGCATGGTATTTGCTAATTGGCTGTGCAAAAACAGATGAACTCTTCAATATGTCTACAGAAATGATTCCTAACAAAATTATAAAATAAGACATTTAATTTAAAAATTCTTGTGAGGGCTGGGGATTTAGCTCAGTGGTTCGGTGGCCTGCCTTGCAAGCACAAGTACCCGAGTTTGATCTCCCGAACAAAAAAAAAAAAAAGAAAAAAATCTTGCTAGAACGATGAAATGCATACAGCCAAGTTTAAATACAAGCTAGTGGGAAATGACAACTACTAAGGAAAATTCAGTTTTGGAGTCATTATTACCCACAATTCCTACAAGCAAAAGGAAATGAAAATGACCTACAAACTACTGAGTCTCGTGGATGTAAGAAATACGTCAGTTCTTCTATGCATCTGACATAGGGTAAAATAAAGAGATGTGTCATTTAAGACATATTAATCTCCCATGCTATTGCTTACAAAAGTGTACACAATTCTGTGAGCACATTTATTCTGAAAAGTGAACTTAAAATTATTTAGTGCAGAGATCTACTTTTGAGACTGAGCTCACATTTTAGGGTATCTCTGCTTATTTTCTGGAGAAATATTTCACATCTAAGTTTTACACAACTTATTTTTGAGCTTTCAATGACATGGGAAGTGGTCAAAAATTTGGAAATATGAGTTATAACAGAACACTTTGTACATTCAGAGCCATTTGTCACAATAACCCCTCTTCCAGGCAGGACAACTGGTAACTTGTGCACATTCCTTATTTTAATGGTTTCTCACAATACTGTTTCTTCGCAGTATGAATTAAACCAAAGGTTTAATTAAACAAGGTATGAATTAAACAAGGGTTCCCATGTAATAATTGATATGAATTCTCCACTGTGCAATACCGCGTTTCACGAAGTCGTGTAAAAATAAAATTTCACATATTCTTGATTCGAATGATACTAATCCACACGTACCACTTGTCACAGGAATCACAAATGCCTTCTCATATTATTTACACATGGGCGTTCTCTTCGGTGGAAGTTCTTTCATGTATTTCAAGACAAGTGGAAGAACGGAAGTGTTTCCATATATGAATGCAATCTTCCCATCCTGCGAATTTCCATGTCTTTAAATTGAGGAAAAAACTGTCTCACATTTATCACTTATGTTACAGTTCTCTTCACTGGGAGTTCTTTCACGTATGTGATACCTGTGTGGACTGAAAGGTTTTGTGTACAAGAAAAGGGTCTCCCTCTCCCTGGGTAAGCCACTTTATATGTTCAGTTCTTTTACTCACCTTATAAAATGCAATGATGCTCATTGCAGTGAGAATGATTTTCCTCATTGTTAACAGTTCTTTCCCAAATGCAATTTCCTTCAAGTATTTGACATTATCTCAGTGTACTGAATACATGACACATATGCATTCACATCTTGCATAGCATTTTTATAGTATGACTTTTCATGTCTTTCACACTAAGTTCCAGATGAAAACGTTCGCACATTCCAGTTTTTTTCTAGTATGTTTGTCCTTGTGTTTGACAGTTTAGATGTGAGCTGAAATCTTTCTCACATTGCTTACATGCATAGGGCTTCTCCCCACTGTGAGTCTGTTCATGTGTTTCACAAACAACACGTGCTGAAAGCTTTTCCACACTGCTTACAGACATAGGGTTTCTCCAGTGTTGAGTCCGCTCATGTCTTTGACAACTTCTGTGCGTGGTGAAAGCTTTCCCGCATTGTTTACATACATATGGTTTTTCACCAGTGTGAGTTTGCATATGTCTTTGGCAACTTCTATGTTCGCTGAAAGCTTTCCCACATTGCTTACATACATAGGGTTTCTCCCCAGTGTGACTTCTTTCATGCCTCTGACAACTACCATGTGTGCTAAAAGCTTTCCCACATTGCTTACATACATAGGGTTTCTCCCCAGTGTGAGTCCTTTCATGTATTTGCCAACTAGCTTTCCTGCTGAAAGCTTTCCCACATTGATTACACACATAGGGCTTCTCCCCAGTATGAGTCTGTACATGGATTTGACAATCTTTGTGTGCACTAAAAGCTTTCCCACATTGCTTACATATATAGGGTTTCTCTCCAGTGTGAGTCCGTTCATGCGTTTGACAATAAGCACGCGAGGTAAAAGCTTTCCCACACTGCTTACATACATGGAGTTTCTCCCCAGGGTGAGTCAGTTCATGTATTTGAAAATAACTGTGTGTGCTGAAAGCTTTGCCACACTGCTTACATATGTAAGGTTTCTCCCCAGTGTGACTCTGTTCATGTGTTTGACAATTCACATGTGTGCTGAAAGCTTTCCCAAAATGTTTACATACATAGAGTTGCTCCCCACTGTGACTCCTTTCATTTAGGTGACAAGTATACTGTCTACTGAATGCTTTCCCACACTGCTTACATACATAGGGTTCCTCCCCCCTAGTATGCGTCCTTTCATGTGCTTGACAATAATCGTGTCTGGTAAAAGCTTTTCCACACTGTTTACATACATATGGTTTTTCACCAGTGTGAGTTTGCATGTGTCTTTGGCAAGTTCTACGTTCCCTGAAAGCTTTCCCACATTGCTTACATACATAGGGTTTCTCCCCAGTGTGAGTCCTTTCATGTATTTGCCAACTAGCTTTCCTGCTGAAAGCTTTCCCACATTGCTCACACACATAGGGCTTCTCCCCAGTATGAGTCTGTACATGGATGTAACAATCTTTGAGTGCACTGAAAGCTTTCCCACAATGTTTACATACATAGGGCTTCTCTCCACTGTGACTCCTTTCATGGATTTGACAAGTATACTGTCTACTGAATGCTTTCCCACACTGCTTACGTACATAGGGTTCCTCCCCGCTAGTATGCCTCCTTTCATGTGCTTGACAATAACCACGTCTGGTAAAAGCTTTTCCACACTGTTTACATACATATGGTTTTTCACCAGTGTGAGTTTGCATATGTCTTTGGCAAGCTTTACGTTCGCTGAAAGCTTTCCCACATTGCTTACATACATAGGGTTTCTCCCCAGTGTGAGTCCTTTCATGTATTTGCCAACTAGCTTTCCTGCTGAAAGCTTTCCCACATTGCTCACACACATAGAGCTTCTCCCCAGTATGAGTCTGTACATGGATGTAACAATCTTTGAGTGCACTAAAAGCTTTCCCACATTTCTTCACACACATAGGGCTTCTCCCCAGTATGAGTCTGTACATGGATGTAACAATCTTTGAGTGCACTAAAAGCTTTCCCACATTTCTTACATACATAGGGCTTCTCTCCACTGTGACTCCTTTCATGGATTTGACAAGTATACTGTCTACTGAATGCTTTCCCACACTGCTTACGTACATAGGGTTCCTCCTCCCTAGTATGCGTCCTTTCATGTGCTTGACAATAACTGTGTCTGGTAAAAGCTTTTCCACACTGTTTACATATATATGGTTTTTCACCAGTGTGACTTTGCATATGTCTTTGGCAAGTTTTACGTTCGCTGAAAGCTTTCCCACATTGCTTACATACATAGGGTTTCTCCCCAGTGTGAGTCCTTTCATGTATTTGCCAACTAGCTTTCCTGCTGAAAGCTTTCCCACATTGCTCACACACATAGGGCTTCTCCCCAGTATGAGTCTGTACATGGATGTAACAATCTTTGAGTGCACTAAAAGTTTTCCCACATTTCTTACATACATAGGGTTTCTCTCCAGTGTGAGTCCGTTCATGCGTTTGACAATAAGCACGCGAGCTAAAAGCTTTCCCACACTGCTTACATACATAGGGTTTCTCCCCAATGTGAGTTGTTTCATGATTATCAAATGAATCCTTGTTAGTAAATAAATTTCCACCATGTGTCTGAAGATCAAGGTGAGACTTCAAGCTCTCTCCGTGTGATAGACATCTATACGTATTCACTTCACTGTGACCTCCTTCCCTGATCTGAACATCCTTGGATGTAATGGATGATTTCACATCTTGCTTATATCTAAACGGCTTCTCTTCAATGGTACAATCAGAGAAGGATTTTCCACGTAGCATATGTTCATGGGGTTTTTCCCCAAGACTTGTCTTTGCATGTTTTGGAAAACATGGGAGTTTTGTGCAGGTTTTCCCATGTGTGTTACAGTTGGACAGCTTCTCCTGAAATACGGTCTGCCCGTAAGGTTTGAGTCCAGGGTTAGCTATGACGGGCCCATCTGCTGATGAATAACCACTCACGTGCCTTCTACAGGAAAGGCTCTCACCCTGATTTACACCGAGTTTCACGTGCGCATTTGTATCTGGAGTCCAAACAACCATTTCTCCACGTTGGTACCGTAATTTATATTGACAGGATTTCTCTCCCTCTAAACTTCTGTAAAGGGAAAAGTAACAAAACAACCAATCACATTTAAAAGTGACTTTGTAGTAATGAATTACCATGAGGCGATCTGCTCTGACGTCCCCTCGGTCTGCCTGTCTCTAGTCCACCATCTCTCATTTCTTGTACCACTTCTTTCATTTGTAGCATTTTTACACAAAATATAATTTGTGATATTGAAATTTCTGTGTCTTACTTATTTAATCAACATTACAGGCTCTACATCCATCCATATTTTGGCAAGTAACATCACTTCATTCTAATGTTGGATGAGTACTATTCTACTGTGTGTAGAGCCAAAGGGTTTTCAGTGGATATTGAAACCAAGGTTTTAGCACTGAGATATATCCATGGGCTTTTTGCTTTTGTTTTTTTTGAGACAGAGTCTCACCATGTAGTTGAGAGTGACCTGGAACTCACTATCGAGATCAGGTTGGTTGTGAAGTCACAGCGATCCTCCTGCCTCAGCCTTCCAAGTTGTGGGATTACGTGCGCGCCACCGTGCCTGGCTCCACGGGCTTTTTAATTTTGATTCTGAGAGTCTCATTAATCATTAGATTACCCTGGCTGGGCATTAATTAATGATCTTTCTGCCTCAGCTTCCCAGAGTGCTGGGATTCCAGCCATGTTCTTTTATGCCCTGGGTATCCCATATCCCACATCTCCTTAATCAACTCAACTGTGAATGGGCACTGAGGCTGTTTCCAGAGTTCAGCTTTTCTAACTTGTGCTGCTACACATGTGTATGTATGCATCACTGTGATAGGAGCACTTCTCCTTTGTGGGCAACATACACAGTACAAGTAGAGCTGGAAAAAATGGAATTCCTAGTTTTCCTTTTCTATGGAATCTCTATTTATATTTCTTTTTTTGTTGTTTGTTTTTGTTTTGTTTTGAGACTGGGTCTCACTATGTAGTGGAGACTGACCTGGAACTCACTGTGTAGCCCAGGCTGGTCTAGAACTCATAGCGATCCTCCTGCCTCAGCCTCGAGTGCTGGGATTATAGGCGTGAGCCACCACGCCCAGCTCTATTTATATTTCTGTAGATGTTATGCCATAGGGATAGTCCCACCAATAATATGGGGATATACATTTTAGTATTTGGGAACCTAAACACTTTTTATGTTTTAAGCACTTTAGAGTGCTTAAAAATAATTATGATAGGGCCGGGGATTTAGCTCAGTGGTTCTGTTGCCTGTCTCGCAAATGCAAGGGCCCAAGTTCGATCCCCTGTACTAGAAAACAAAACAGAAAACTATGATCAAAATAGCAGCATTCATTTGAATTTTGAATACATCCACAAAATTAGCAACTTTTCATATAGTATATGTGTATATCACGTGGAAGTATATTTGGTATCACTTATATGGTTTCTGATTTGAAAATGGACTTTTAAAACACAGGTGTATATAATTAGAACTTGGCACTATGCACAAAATTTGTTTTATATACGCCTATCCTGAATATCTACATACCTCTTTCAGTATATCTATACTTTTGAGCATGGAACATAATTTACTTATTCTTTTTGTTTTGGTTTTGGTATTTGGAATCAAACTTGGGACTTGCACTTACAAGGCACACGGCAGAACCACTGAGCTAAATCCTTAGCCCCCCTTTTTGCTTTTTCAAAGAGGGTCTCACTCTGCAGTTGAGACTGGCCTTCGATTCACTTTGCGGTCAGGACGGGTAGTGAACCTGTGAGGTCTCCCAATGTTCCTGCCTCAGCCTTCCACGTGCTGAGGTTACAGGTGGGTGCCTCTCCTGGTTATTTGTTCTTTTACATTGGATCACAGATGCCAATCTTGGTACATTATCAGTACAACCAATGTTTCAGACATTGGAATATTTCAAATATATGATTGTCAGATTAGAGATAGGCAATACACATAAGTCCTTGGAAAAATTTTGTGAGATTCAAGAAATTTGAACACAGTCTTGTCTGTGTAGTTGGCTTGGTTTTCATATTTTGACACTTGAAAAGCATTCTTCTTGTGAGTGCAAATTACCTTAGACTTTTTGTGCAAGTGTTGTACTCATCTTCAATTTGCTGGTCATCTGAATGTCTTCCTGAAAGGTAGAAACAAATATAATAATGATTTACTACATTACATGAAACTCAGTAGATTCCAGTTAAAATGGGTAAAATGTGCCCAAGCCTGGAAAATGCATCGTTTCCACCTTCCAACTAAGAAAAGTGCACTGTTGAGCACAAACCAACACTCTGACTGCGTACGTGAGAAAATGATATCTTCCTTACCTATGGCAGCCAGGTTCCTAAAGGTTTCCCACATCACATCTCTGTAGAGCTTCTTTTGGGATGGATCCAGCAAAGCCCACTCCTCCTGGGTGAAGTTCACAGCCACATCCTCAAAGGTAAGCTCCTCCTAAAGCATCAGAAATGTATTTACAGAAAGAAGCGTGAGATTCACAACGTGAAACATTTCATCTCTCCTAATACCTGATATGAGGTGAGTTTTCCAAATGCATACTTCATTTCCTGGTCATGGAACACTTATTCACCATCCACACGCATATATCACATAGGAAGTTTTGTTTTTTCGTTTTTTGAGACAGGGTCTCACTATGTACTTGAGACTGACCTGGAACTCACTTTGTAACACAGGCTGGTCTCGAACTCACAGCGATCCTCCTGCCTCAGCCTCCTAAGTGCTGGGATTACAGGCATGTGCCACCACGCCCGGCCCAATATGACTGCAAGCATTATTTTTTACTGATTGATTGATTGATTATACCGGAGAGTGAACTCGATCAGGACCTTGAGCTTGCAAAGTAGGTAGCAGAACCACTGAGCTAAATCCCCAGCCTTCACATAGGAAGTTTGATGTTACGCTGGAATTTACTCGTAAAGCACACCATGCAAGGGGAACCGGGGTCAGCCCAGCTTTCTTTGTATAATGTCTCTAAAGCATGGTTCACAGAAGGAGCCTAAAAAATTAGAATCCAAGTGAAAAAAGTAAGGTAGATAAGTATGTGAATTACTCTGAGAGATTATAGAAAATGTCATTTTTGTGACCTCATTAATTAAGGAATAGATTTCTTCCCTGATTCTATTTAGACTGTAGTGTCAAACTTCAACCTTGGGTGTTTTGTTCTGTTTTGTTTTTGGGTACCAGGGATCAAACTTGGGCCCTTGCACTTGCAAGGCAGGCGGCAGCACCACTCTGGCCCTTAAACTTGGTTTTATAGATAAAGCTTTAATTGAGCACTAAAAATTTATAGAAGAAAAATGTGAAAGCTAATTTAAAAAATTATAGTTCTTGAAGCCGGGCGTGGTGGCACACGCCTTTAATCCCAGCACTCAGGAGGCTGAGACAGGAGGATTGCTATGAGTTTGAGACCAGTCTGGGCTACATAGTGAGTTCCAGGTTAGTCTCAACTACATAGTGAGACCCTGTCTAAAAAAAAAAAAAAAAAAAAAAAAAAATTATAGTTCTTATTGGAGAATGTCTACGAAAAATGAAATTACATTAAGGAACCTGTATTTTCCTATGGTTCAGTGATTGGAAGTGTGGCCTAAGACAGAGAAATGGGGGAGAGCTGATATGATGAAAATAGATATTAAATGTACTGATCACAAATATTTTCTAAACTTAACAGGTACCAATAATGAATGGAGAAATTGAAGAATTATTATTTTTTCACTTCTAAATTCAACTTCAAATGAGATGGAATTTTAAGGTACAGAAAGTTTTAATAACTACTATTTAGGGCACTGGTCTATTAGTAGAGAAAATGACAAATATACTCTAACAAAGGAAGAGAATCTTCAATGGATGTGATGTAAACAGAATATGTCTTAGTCATGTTTTTTTATTTCTCCTTACTGAGACAAATCACCCAACACTCAAAATTAAAGGAGGGAAGGTTCACTGAGGCTCACAGTTTGTAGAGGTTTCAGTACATCATGAGCTGGCTCCAAGGCAGGGTGGAATGGAAGAAGGGAATCATAGAGCAGAAACAGTCCATGGCAGGCCGAAGGCAGCAAAAGCAGCAAGCAATAAGCAGCATGCCTCCTTCTGCCCTTGGTATTTCACCACGCTAATAGCACTCACATCCTTCATCCTAGCATCACACTGGCAATCAGTCCCAGAATCAGATACTACAGAACCAGCTCCCTCTGAAACCCACCTGCAAGGCATGCGGCACTGGGGGGTTATTTAGATACAAGCTATAACAGAATAATTATTCATGACAGAACTTTTAAGGCACAAAGGGGCACAAATCACAATCTGTTTAAGATAGGAGGCAAAGGGCCAGGCATTTAGGTCAGTGGTTTGGTCGCCTGACTCTCAAGCACAAGGACCCGAGTTCAATCCCCGGTACCAAAAAAAAAAAAAAAAAAAAGGAGGCAAGAATAAACAGATATTTTACTGTTCATATGCCTCATTAAATCACCTCTCGAAGTGGAAAAGCTAATTTGAAAAATTTTAGAATTCACACAACAATATACTTTGAAAGTTAAAAAATCTGTTTGTTTCCACTGATGAAGATCATTAAGCTGTGAGAATTAGAGGGAGAGATGGGCTTGGGGGTGCACCCTGCATGCCAGCACTTGGTAGGCTAAGGCCAGAGAAGCACTGTGAGTTCAAGGACAGCCTGCGCTACACAGTGAGTTCCAAGCCAGCCTGATGTAACAGTGAGAACCTGCCTCCAAAACCAACCAACCAACCAACCAGGGCCAGGGATTTAGCTCAGCAGTTCCGCTGCCTGTCCAAATTCGAGCCCCGGTACACAAACAAAACAAAACAAAACAAAAACAACCAACCAACCCAATACAAAATGAGAGGGAAAAATCGCAACCTAGGTAAATCATGGGAAGCAAAAGACACAAGAAATGAAAAAAACTATTTGCAGTGTATGTAATAAAAAGAATTTGTGTACCAAGTAAAAAATGAACACTTAAATAAAAGTAAAATATATAAACCTCAAGAGAAAACACCAAATAAAAACCAAGATCCATCACCTTGTCTGAGAAAACAGGCCAAAGAAGTGGAACTGTGGAGAGACACACAGGCAGGTAGACTTAGGACAAAATGAAGGAGGAACTGGCGCACTCCACAGCCACGTCCTCCTCTTGGGAGTGCGCTACAATACAGCCCACAGACCGGTGCCTTCAACCCAACTCTAGACAACACGCTCTGCTGTTGCTTTTGAAGACAAATGTGATTCTTTTTACATTTAATAAAAAGTAAACTTGAAAAAATGTCAGCCACGACACAGGTATGACCACATGTGAAACACAGTGAGATGAAGAAACCTCATGTAGGTCCGGGGATTTAGCTCAGTGGTGCCACTGCCTGCTTCAAAAGCACAAGGTCCCGAGTTTCATACCCAGTACCAAAAAAAAAAAAAAAAGAAAGAAAAGAAAAGAAAAGACAAGACAAGACAAGAAAAGAAACATCACATAATACTTTCCTGTGTAATTTCTTTTGGACTCACTTATTAAATATTTCAAGCTACTGTTTTGTGACAACCATACATGGTGAATTTATATCAAATAGCACAATAAACTGGGAAAATGATGAGTCTAACAATGCTTCATTCACCTGGATACTCATATCTGCCCAAGGCCCAGTTGGAAAACTTTCTGAGAGTTCCTAGGACATTTATATTGTCATTGTTGTTAAATATCACCAAAACCTTTTTGAGAATAAACTTATCTGCAAAATATATAAATTCTAAATTTCCACCTGGAAAGAAGATTTATGCTTGCTCTCCCACATTCCAGCATGGGAAAATGAGATACTGGGCACAGCTAACAAAGCAGTACACTTGCAAATGTGAAATCTCCACTTAGCAAGCAGTTAGTTCACAGACTGCATGCTCACCATCAAGGGGAGGGGAGTTTAGAACACCAGAGAAAAACAAGGCAGACATTTAAGCTACCTAATACATACACCTCCTACCTGTGGTGCAACATCCTACGCTCTCCTGGAGAGAAGTGGCTTTCGTGTTCCCCTTTGAGAAGATACAGGACGGAGAACCAAGAGGAACGCATACACCTCCTACCTGTGGTGCAACATCCTACGCTCTCCTGGAGAGAAGTGGCTTTCGTGTTCTCCTTTGAGAAGATACAGGACGGAGAACCAACAGGAACGCTGCTCACGTAGCAGAGCACTAGGTACCTTAGAGCAGGACTCTCGACCGTGTGCCAAGTGTGTTCAAAGAGGGAAGAGAGGAGCCTGGCCCGAGAGGTGATGGCGGGGACCGGGGGACACACAGTGAAACTCACTCTTCCGGCAGAGTTGCGGGCTCTCAGAGCATCCGTCGGGTCCGAAGCTGCGCATACCTAGGCTTTTGATCACACGGTCCTCCACTGGGACACAAACGGAATGAAATGGTGAACTCAAGCGCTTCCACTTTCCAGTTCACCAGGAAAGATGGAGAAGGAATTTTTCTTTGTCAATTACAAAAAACAAGTTGACTTAAAATCCACATCCCTTGAAGACTAAACTGGAGCACAAGGACGTAGACTTACAGAAGTATAAATTACTCAGAAAAACAGAAGAACAGAACAAGGACAGAATGTTTCCAAAATAGAGAGCAAGTAAACAATTCATAATAAATTCTGTTAGGACATATAAAATTTTCTATGCTTTATGACCAAACATAAATATTGTATTTCCCAAGTATAAGTATTTTACATTGAATATAATAAAGAAAAATAGAAATTGTAGGGAAGGAAGCGTCGTAGAAACCCTATGTCATCTGTCAGCGGTGTGAGGGGAGCAGCAGGACCTCAGGCACACAGGGCACGTGCTCCACGGCTGAGCCACGTCCTCGTCCCACCCACTTCCTTGTGACACAAGCATATTATTCAATAATTATCACTGCAACAGTAAGTGAAGAAATAAATGTAGACATACTTAGAATTACGGGACAATATTTGTATAAAATGTTAAAGTTTGAAAAAACATGTTCAATACACAGCATGTAAGAAATATGCTCAGCTTCATCAAACATATACAATCAAAATTCAAAGAAAAAGGAATAAATACATTAGAAATAAGAAAACACATGAAACAGTTACAATAAGAAAGGTAGACAGCAAAACACAGCACAAAAACAATTATAAATATCATAGATATTTATATTTTTGGTACCGGGGATGGAACTCAGGTCCCTGAGCTTGCATGGCAGGCCACCGAACCGTAGATATTTATTATTTTGAAAAAGGGTCTCATACATGGCTCTGGAAGTCTGTGAACTTTTTTATTTTTGGTACCAGGGATAGAACTCGGGCCCTTGTGCTCAGTGAGGCAGGTGGCGGAACCACTGAGCCAAATCCCTGGCCCAGGCCGTGAACTGTGACGTCGAATCAGCTGTGACTGCTGTGGTGACAGGTGCATGCCAGTACTCCTGACTAAGCAATGATATACAACTAAAATGTAACAAAATCAGGACTTACTGAATTTTACCTTATAGGTGAAGAAATGCTTAGCAATATAGAAATTTTCATATCAGGTACTAAAAGAAGAGGCATGCTGGAAAATCAAAGAAACTACCCAACAAATGAAGTGTCAATATGAGACTTCCCTCCACATATTCACCTCACAGAGGGTAAACAAGTGAA